ATTTAGATTTACATACACACACACACACACACCATCTTTTTTTTTTTTTAAGATTTCATTTATTTATTTGACAGATAGAGACACAGCGAGAGAGGGAACACAAGCAGGGAGAGCAGGAGAAAGAGAAGCAGGCTTCCCGCTGATCAGGGAGCCCGATGTGGGGCTAGATCCCAGGACCCTGGGATCATGACCTGAGTTGAAGGCAGATGCTTAACGACTGAGCCACCCAGGTGCCCCCCACACACACCATCTTCATTGCTCTTATTTCTTTCCTGCATCTCTGACCTTCCATCTAAGATACTTTTCCTTTTGTCTGAATAATGTCTTTTAGCATTTCTTTTAGAATGGATCTCCCGGTAACAAATGATCTCAGTCTTTGTTAGTCTTTAAATGTCTTTATTTCATCTTTCTTTTTTTTTTATAAGATTTTATTTATTTATTTGAGAGAGAGAGTGTGCATGTGCGAATGAGAGAGAGCAGGGGGGCAGGGCAGAGGGAGAGGGAGAAGCAGACTCCCCGCTGATCAGGGAGTTGCGGGTCTCAATCCCAGGACCCTGGGATCATGACTTGAGCTGAAGGCAGATGCTTAACTGACTGAGCCACCTAGGCACCCCTCATCTTTATTTCTAAAGGATATTTTCCCCAGATTTAGGATTTTTAGATTGGTAGGTATTTTCTTTTAATACTTAACTATATCAATCCATTGTCTTCTGAATTCAGTACTTTAAGTTGAGAAGTCTGCTGTCACTTTAATTGTTGTCCTTTGAATGTAATCTTTTTTTACCCCGCCAGCTTTTAAGATTTTATGCTTGTCTTATTATTCATTATGAGGTGTCTAGGTATATATTTCTTTTTATTTATCCTAATTTAGTTTTATAGATTTTTGGAATTAGTTTTCTTGAATCTGTGGTGTGAATTTCTTAATCCATTTTGGAAAATTCTCCGTCACTATGTCTTCAAATATTGCTTCTGTCCCATTTTTTCACTTTTCGTAATGGAACTCCAAAAACACTTAAGTTTGACCTTTTCACTCTAACGTATGCCTTTTGCTCTCTTTTCTGAATTTACTTTCATTTTGCCTCTTTGCTGATTTGGATGACTTTGCCTTCCAGTTCACTAATTATCTCTTCCAATCTGTTAGATCCATCCATTCAGTTCTAAATTTCAGGTACTATATTTTTCAGTTCCACAATTTTTATTTGGTTCTTTCTCAAATCTGCTCTGCCATTTTATGGTTTCCAGTACTTTCCTGAAAATGCCAATCCTGTCTTTTATGTCCTTGATTATAACAAGCATAATTATTTTATTTTTAAAGATTTTATTTATTGGGGCACCTGGGTGGCTCAGTTGTTAAGCATCTGCCTTCGGCTCAGGTCATGATCCCAGGGTCCCGGGATCGAGCCCCGCATCGGGCTCCCCGCTCCATGGGAAGCCTGCTTCTCCCTCTCTCACTCCCCCTGCTTGTGTTCCCTCTCTTGTCGTGTCTCTCTCTGTGAAATAAATAAATAAAATCTTTTAAAAAATTATTTATTTATTTATTTGAGAGACAGAGAGAATGAATGAATAAGTGGGAGGTTGGGGGCGGGGAGAGGAGAGAATCCCAAGCAGACTCTATGCTGAGCATGGAGCCCCATAAAGGAACAGATCTTACAACCCTGAGATCATGACCTGAGCTCAAACAAAGAGTCAAACACTTACCGACTGAGCCACCCGGGTGACCCAAGCATAATTATCTTAAAGTCTGTGTCTCTTAGGGCCAGCACCCAGCTGGAACTAACTTGTAAGAGGCCTTATATAGTCTGTTATGTGTGCTATTTCTTTTCATAGTGTCTTTTTTTCCTTAAGTAAAATTTATTTAAATTCCAGCTAACATACAGTGTAATATTAGTTTCAGGTGTACAATAGTGATTCAGCAGTTCCATGCATCACCTGGTGCCCATCACAACAAATGTACTCCTCAATCCTCAACACCTATTTAACCTATCCCCCTACCCACCTCCCTTCTGGTAACCATCAGTTTGTTTTCTACAGTTAAGAGTCTGTTTCTTGATTTGTCTCTCTTTTTTTCCCCTTTGATCTTGTCTCTTAAATTTTGCGTATGAGTGAAAACCTATGGTATTTGTGTTGTTCTGACTGACTTATTTTGCACAGCATTATACTCTCTAGTTCCATCCATGTTGTTGCAAATGGCAAGATTTTATTCTTTTTTATAAAGGCCAAGTAATGGTACACTTACTTGGCCATAAAAAAGAATGAATATATTGTCTTTATCCATTCATTAGTCAGTGGACACTTGAGCTGTTTCCAGAGTTTGGCTATTGTAGATAATGCTGCTATAAACATCAGCGTGCATGTATCCCTTTGAATTGGTATTTTTGTATCCTTTGGGTAAATACCAAGTCGTGTGATTGCTGGATCGTAGGGTACTTCTAATTTAAACTTTTTGAGGAATTTCTATACTGATTTCCACAGTGGCTACACCAGTTTGTATTCCTACCAACAGTGCACAAGGGTTCCCCCTTCTCACCATCTCCATCCTCGCCAACACCTGTTGTTTCTTATGTTGTTGATTTTAGCAATTTTGACAGGTATGAGGTATTATCTCATTGTAGTTTTGATTTGTATATCCCTGATGATCAGTGATGTTGAGCATCTTTTCATGTGTCTGTTGACCATCAGGATGTATTCTTTGGAAAAATGTCTACTCATGCCTTCTACCCATTTTTCAATTGGATTATTTGTTTTGGGGGTATTGAGTTTTATAAGTTCTTTATATTATTTTGGATAGTAACCCTTTATCAGATATGTCATTTGGAAATATTTTCTTCCATTCTGTAGGCTCCCTTTTAGTTTTGTTGACTGTTTCCTTTACTGTGCAGAAGCTTTTTATTTTGATGAAGTTCCAATAGTTTATTTTTGCTTTTGTCTCCCCTGCCTCAGGAGACATATCTAGAAAGAAGTTGCTAAGGCCAATGTCAAAGAAGTTATTGCCTGTGTTCTCCTCTAGGATTTTAATGGTTTCCTGTCTCACATTTAGGTCTTTAATCTATTATGAATTTATCTTTGTGTTTGGTGTAAGAGAGTGGTCCAGTTTCATTCTTCTGCATGTGGCTGTCCAGTTTTCCCAACATTTGTTGAGGAGACTTTTTTCACTGGACAGTCTTCCCTGCTTTGTCGAAGATTAATTGACCATATAGGTGTGGGTTCATTTCTGGGTTTTCTAATCTGTTCCATTGATATGTGTCTATTTTTGTGCCAGTGCCATACTGTTTTGATCACCATAGCTTTGAAACACAACTTGAAGTCCAGAATTGTGATGGCTCCAGGTTTTCTCTTCTTTTTCAAGATTGCTTTGGCTATTCGGGGTCTTTTGTGGTTCCATACACGTTGTAGGATTGTTTGTTCTAGCTCTGTGAAAAATACTGTTGGTATTTTGATAAGAGATGGCATTAAATGTGTAGATTGCTTGGGTAGTATAGACATTTTAATAATATTTGTTCTTCCAATCCATGAACATGGATTGTTTTTCCATTTCTTTGTGTCTTCCTCAATTTCTTTCATCAGTGTTCCAGCAAGGAAGAAGTAAAACTTTTCACTATTTATAGATGACATGATACTCTATATAGAAAACTTGAAAGACTCCACCAAAAAACTGCTAGAACTGGTAAATGAATTCAGTGAAGTCACAGGATACAAAATCAATGTGCAGAAATCTGTTGCATTTCTTTCTTTTTTTAAAAAATGTTTTTATTTAAGTAGGCTACATGCCCAACATGGAGCCCCATGAGGGATTTGAACTCACAGCTCTGAGCTCAAGACCTGAGGCGAGATCAAGAGTCAGGATGCTCAACCGACTGAGCCACCCAGGCACCCCTGTTACATTCTGTACATCAATAATGAAGCAGTAGCAGAAAGAGAAATTCAGGAATCAATCCCATTTACCATTGCACCAAAAACAATAAGATACCTAAGAATAAACAAACAGGTGAAAAAACTGTACTCTGAAAACTATAAAACACTAATGAAAGCAATTTTCATAGTGTCTTAGCTCCTTCTGCCTGGTTATGTCTGATTGAAAGTTTTTCACTATGTTAAAGAAATGTTTATAGAAATAATTTGAGGTCCCCAGGAACATTAGCTATCCAGGATCCCTTTAATCCAATTTCAGAAAACTAAGATTTTCTGGATTACTCTCAAAGAGTTGTAATTTGGGTTGTTTTCTTTCTTGTTCACCTTCACAAAGCATTCAGAGCACAAGAGATTTATTAGGGTTCTACTCTTGATAGGTCCTGGAATCTAACTTCAATTTCTTAAGCCCCATAGCTTTCAAAAGCATTATTTAGGGGCACCTGGGTGGCTCAGTCAGTCAAGCCTTCTGCACAGGTCATGATCTCAGGGTCCTGGGATCAAGCCCCACATCGCACTCCTGCTCAGCGAGGAGTCTGCTTCTCCCTCTCCCCCTGCCCCTCCCCACTTCATGTGAGAGCACTCTCTCTCTCTCTCTCTGCTCTCTTTCAAATAAATAAACAAAATCTTAAAAAAAAAAAAAAGCTTTATTTAGCCTCTCAATGGACTCTTCTGGAATCAGAAATCCCTAAGAAGGATGGGGCCTGAAATCAACCTCTCTGGAGGCCAACCTCTTTGGATTTAAGTACACAGACAGATTTTGAATTGGTGATTTTCGTGACTTCTTTAACTCTCCAATGCCTTTATGTATTTTTCCCTTTTCTTCCTTTCTTCCTCCCTCCCTGTCTTCCTTCCTTCCTTTCTTTTCTATCCTTTTTCCTTCCTCCCTTCCTTACTCTTTAATATCCTGCCCAGTTTTTCTTGTTTTCTTCTACAGAAAGCTTGGTCCAAATGACCTACTCTACTTCACTGTAAGTGGAAATCTCCTCAATATAGCTTTCTATCCTACTTAAGATTATGATACAATTTTTCCTATGACATTAAATATTCTTCAAAAACATATTAAACTATATTCCTATAGAAAATGTGTTTACCTGTTGTTCTAGGATCATATTCTTCTCTCGTTCTACATTAAGAACCATTCTCTTTGTATATTCCAGTTGCTTCTCTAGAAGAGTACAGCGAGACTGAGCTGAGCTTAACTGTATAGTAATATCTGTGAAAAAAGAAAAAGTAATAATGTCTAGATTATCACACAGATCAGAGACTTGGTAATCACAAGAAATACATTATATAAATTCAATCAAGAACTAAAAGCTCAAGGATTCTTTAGTTCTAAGTACTGACTCTATAAGAGTTGTGGACATACATTTTGTGAATATCTCATTAACTACATAATACTAGTTTAACATTGTCTTCCCCTAAAAGACCCAGGGCAAACTTCTGAAAGAGTAAGAAGTCAGTGACCTGTGGGATGATAAATATCTTGGCTGTTCCTGGGAAATGACATTATCTGAAAAAAATACAGGACCTAAAGTCTCTTTCCTATCAATATATTTTTCTCTTTTGGGAAACTCAGGTATATCCAATCTTCCATTCCCATTTCCTCTGCTCTTGACTACTGACAGCATAGTTATTTCCTAAGAAGTAATCAACCTCTTTCTAATCCTTTAATTTTTTACTTTCCTCAGCTCTTTAGACCACTTTTGTCCAATAGCCTCAGAAAAAAATCTTCTCATTTCTTTCTACTTATAAGTTGAAACACAAACTTGAACCTAATTTATGAGGGTGAATGTACTACAAGGAAAAAGAAAGCCATATATTATGAAGTAAAAATTATATAAAGAACTTATGTTCTAAATCTCTAAAACTTATGTCCGGATGTCTTTTTCATAATTTCCACAGAAACCTCTACCTACCTGTCCATTTCCTCTAATTAATCTTTCAAGTTAATAAAATTTTTTACTCATTTTTATGGTTTCTGATTGTTCAATTACTAGTGTTGCTTTTTATTTTCAAATTTTAAAAACCAGTGCTGACTGAATATATAAAGTATTTAATTATATTATAGGTAAAATTTGATTTTGTTGGTATTCTGAAAATATTCTAATTTCTAAATACAATCTGTCTAAAAACTTAATGTGTCTTTTACCCAGGTTAGGCCTACTATGGGTAAAGCTGATATGAATATTCAAGTACAAGTCTTCTTATGGAAATATCTTTGTATTTATTGGATAAATACCTAGGAATGGAATTACAGGGTTATACGGATAGCATATGTTTTAGTTTTACAAGAATCTGCTGAACTGTTTTCTACAGTGGTTGTACCATTTAATGGTCTCACCAATAAGATGTGAGAGTTTCAGTTTCTTCACATCCTTATCAATACAGGATATTATTACATCCTTTAATTTTGGTCAATCTAGTGAGTATACATTAGTATCACATTGTGATTTTATTTGTATTTTCCTGTTGACTAGTTTTGCTAAGGATCATTTCATGTGCTTATTGGACTGTATATCTTCTTTTATAAAATGCCTGTTCAAATTTTTGGCCCACTTTTCCTGTAGGTTGTTTTCCTTTTATTATTATTATTAAGTTTTGAGAATTCTTTGTATATTCTCAATACAAATCCTTTTCAGATATCTGTTTTGCAAACATTTTCTCACAATCTGTTACTTGTCTTATTTTAACAGTATATTTTGAAAAATAAAAGTTTTAAACTTTGGAGAAAAAAACTTAATGTGTCTTTTAATCTCAAGAATTTATGAACTGGGATAATATGTAATAGAAGTAAGCTCAAAGTGATACCTATTTAATGCAAATATCAAACTGTGAACAAGGCTTCAAGGTTTGAATATATATAAGAACAAAGATATTTGAGTAAATCTTAGACTGGGCTTTTTACTTTCAAGTTGTAAATTTTGATAACTCCTTGTTTCTGAGAACTATTGAATTTCCTTACCTTTTTTCTGCTTTATCAGTTCCTGGTGTGCCAGATTTCTTTCATGTGTTTCTTTCTCCAAGGCCTTTTTATACTGTGCTGCCTCTCTGGAAAGAATGTTTAGGTTATCCTCAGCTTGTGTTCTCTCCAATTCTAAACGATGAATCTTTTCCTGAAGAGTTTTTAAGGCTAAAATAAGAGCTGTCCAAAAAAAAATTTGCTTGTTACTTCAGTGAAAATTTTTGAACACTTACACAGTAGCAATAAAAGTGAACAGTATATTTTTGTTAGTGAGCCAGAAAAACATACAAGTAACATATATTCCTCAAAAAAAAATCACTAAAACTCTAAAGAGGGACAAATTTTTTCTAATATATCTTCTAAAAACAACATATTTATGATTGTATTTAGTAATTTTCTAGGTTTGAGATAGCTAATAATCAAAATTTTTAATTCAATAAAATAAATATCTTCAAATAATGTACAGTCTAGGAGGCATAAGAGTCTGAGTATGGATAAAGAAAATTAAGATGTAGTGTCACAAATTAACATGGAAATTTAGGTTTAATGTTAAAGGTTTTTCTTGGTTCTTGATATGTTCAATTTTAGTTAAATCACAAACATTTATTGTTTCTTTGTCTAAGATTTAGTATTAATAATCAGAACATATGAGTTAGAACACAGTTTCTTCCACCAGAAGAAAAGTTATAACCTAGTGGTTTAACTCATGTCAGGCTTGAAAGATTTTAAGTGGTACACATGTACTACTGTGATTTTTATTCAGGTATATTAATATCATCATGATTCGGGTATGTTCAGGGTTCTAAAATTTTCAAATAACACTTTCTATTCTGTTATAACTTCAAACTATAAAACGAGTGGAATGGAATTTAAGTAAATGTTGTAGGTTAATTTTCATATGCCAGCATACCTTGTTTATTGTGCTTCACCTTATTGCATTTCACAGATAATGCATTTTTTACAAATTGGACAATAGTTTGTGGCAACCCTATTTGAGTAAATCTACCAGCACCATTTTCCCAACAGTATTTGCTCACTTCATGTCTGTGTGTCACATTTTGGTAATTCTTGCAGTATTTCAAACTTTTTGTTATTATTATATTTGTTATGGCAATCTGTGATCAGTGATTATGACTCACCGAAAGCTCAGATGATACCTAACATTTTTTAGCAATAAAGTATTTTTTAGTTAAGATATGTAGTACATTGTTTTTTTAAAAAAAATGCTATTGCACAATTAATGGACTACAGTATAGTCTAAATGTAACTTTTATATGCACCAGGAAACCAAAAAATTCATTTGACTCACTTCATTGTGATATATTTTGCTTTATTGTGGTAGTCTGGAACCGAACCCACAATATCTCCAAGGTTTGCCTGTAGTTCATATCCAATCAAAAAGATGTTTGCTAGAGATTACCATGTGGTTCTTTTTGTTTTTTGTTTGTTTTTTTGTTTGCTTGTTTTACAAATGAGATAAAGAAATTATATGTATTGCTCTTTAGAAATGCAATACCGGTTTGCTGATTTGGAATATTTCTTGTGGTTTTTTACTCTACAGAGCTAGTCTATTTATTAATGGTAACATTTATTATAGAATATTAAAAAAAACAGGTGATAACAAGCATTTTAGAAGGTAATTTGTATGGCATAGGCATGTTTTCCTAATTCAATTCTGATATCCTCCTAAGTTTATTATTTTTTTATTTTTTTAAAGATTTTATTTATTTATTTGTCAGAGAGAGAGAGAAAGCACACAAGCAGGGGGAGCGGCAGGCAGAGGGAGAAGCAGGCTCCCCACCAAGCAAGGAGCCCAATGCAGGACTCGATCCCAGGACCAGGGATCATGACCTGAGCCGAAGGCAGACGCTTAACCGACTGAGCCACCCAGGTTTCCCTTCCCCTAAGTTTATATTTTAAAAGTTACAATATTTGTACTTTGTAGTTACTCCAATGTACTAGCTTCCCAAGGAATTTTCAAGCGTAATTTTGGAAATAGGCAATTTCCGAACTTAATCCTTGAATAAGATACAACTTTACTTAATTCACTAGTATTCTAATCGTCTAGTTTAGAAGGATTCCAAATCTGACCTTTGATTCTTCAAAGAGTATTTTCCTATTTTCTCACGATTTTTTAGGATAAAATTGTAATTATGGGTCTAGGTGGTTAATCTTCATCTTATAGCTGAAGAAGCCAAAATAAAAAATGTTAAATAACTTACTTATGTTTATAGAAACTTTAAGCAACAGAGTCAAAACGAACAGTTTTATTAAAATTAAACACATAATCATATTATTTTTCTATGTAAAAATGTAAAGTTTTATATAACATTCCATATCATTCCCTTAATTTTTAATATGACTTTATTTTAGAATTACCTTGGCTATTTGGACTATGAAGCATTTTAGGAGAGGTAGCTTCTAAGTTTGCACAGTGGTGAGTCTGAGATGATTCATCATTCTGGATAAATGATGGAATAAAAACTCTTTCTGGAGGTTTAAGATAGCTTCCTACTATACTATGCATTAATTCAGAATCCATTATCTGTAGAGAATAAAGGAATAATATAGTATAGCATCATTCTTTCCTATTTAAATGACAAAAATATTAGGTGAAACTTAAATACATAATCATATACTGTGGAGTTGTTTCTTTATGAAGTTAATTATCACAAGTTCAACTATAATAAGCTTATCAATACAAGAAAGAAACATGACTATTTACTGTATAAATAGTATGGACAATTCTGCCTGATTTTCAGTGAGCAAATGCCCTGGAGTGAGCATTAATTATATGGGTGGTGTGAATTTACTGGTTTCTCAGTTGATCTTAAGTTCATATACCTCTCATCAACTGAGCACTTCTCTACAACAGTGTGACTCTAGGATTCCTAGGGAAAGTACATATTCTAAAAGACAACATAGGTTTGAAACACAAGCCACCCATATAATCCAGTCCTCAAAGACTGATTGTTGAATTCCAACGTACTGGCTTCCTAAGGGATTTTCAAGGGTAATTTTGGATATATCAATCTCTGAATCTAATCATCGGATATGACACAACTCCATTTAATGTGCCAGTATTTTTTTTTTTTTTAAGTAGGCTCTACACCCAGCATGGAGCCCAATGTGGGGCTCGAACTCAGATGGTGAAATCAAGACCTGTGCTGATATCAAGAGTTGGACACTTAACTAACCCAAGCACCCCAATGTACCCAGCATTCTAATCATAGTTTAGAATGGTTCTCAATCTGAAGAACCTAAAATAGCTTTGTCATTCTGGGAGGTTTTATTTAATTTTAATGTTTTATTTTTTAGGAGAGCCCTTTTAACCATTTTAGCAGATAATTTTTTGGTCTAATTTTCCCCAAACCATTTATTTTCCTTTCTGTAATTTAAATACTTTAGAAAAGGGGTGCCTGGGTGGTTCAGTCAGTTAAGCATCCAACTCTTGATTTCAGCTCAGGTCGTGATCTCAGGGTCATGAGACAGAGCACTTCATTGGGCTCTGTGCTCAGCAGGAAGACTGCTTGAGATTCTTTCCCTCTCCTTCCCCTTCTTTCCCTCCCCAAGCTCACACACACACACATACACCCTCTCCCTCTCTAAAATAAATAAATAAATATTTAATAAAACAATAAAGGTTAAATAGCCTAGGAAGATTTCTAGAATATTTGATGCTCTTTGCTCTTGGAAGGAATCATTTTTTTTTGCTATTGTTATTAGTATCAGCTACCATTTATTAATGTCTCCATCCCTCCGGGTTGTTGCTGCTCAGATACTGTCTGCTCCCCTTGGGAGATTGCATCTATCTAAGTTGCTGTTCCCTCAAAAAACAAGAGAGCAAAGTTAGTCACAGCTGGCTCACAATGAAGTAGAGGTAAGATTCCAAAGTACAGAAGTTCTGAACGTGGTTGCACATCTTCAGAGAGAGGTATGTGGCTGAAGCTATCCCAAGAACCTCAGAATTACTCAAGATATCTCAGTTTTAGGCTCCTGGTGAGTTTCTCCAATAATAAAGAGTGAAATCTTACCATTAGTCATTATACCCTGAGGTCCTTGGGAGGACTCTGCTTCCTCTTTACCAAATATAGTATTTATTTTACAAACTGCATTTTGTGCCAGTTAAAAAACAAATTCAAACTTGAGGTTTTTAATGTAAATGAAATGACTACTTAGAACATGCCAATAAGTTAAAAATAGACTACAGTTTATTTAAATTAAATTGTGTAAACACACCTTAAAGTGGGGATAAGCAGAATAACAACCCACTGGTAGGTGAAGACAAAGAAAGGAAACAGTACAGAAATGAGAGAAGACACACTAGGATGCTCAGTGGATGGCATTGTGATAGAGGTCCCAGCTTAACCCTTACAATCTAGTCCTATGTTACAAACAAGTGCATAAACCCAGTAGAAGTTTATATACATAAAGAACTGTGGCATTCTAGGAGAAAAACTCACTCTGAAGGAAGAAGAAAGAAGTACAGAAAGCTGATCCAAAGTCAAAGCCTTACTTGATGGAGGAAGGGAGGAGTAATTTCGAGTACAGTACAGTCATGGTCATTCTAACTCATCTCTGACCCAGTCCCATGGACTCACACGTGGGTGTTGGGAAGGGAGAGGACTGTAAGTAAAAACTGAGAAATATTTCACCAATATCTCCATAAAAGATTGGGGCATTAGCTGTCCTGCCTTGTGTGGAATGTTATATTCCAATGAAGAGGAAAGTTGCTAGAGATCACTAACATAGTTTTGACATTTTGAGGGCTCTGGTGCATTGTTAGTACTGTTCAGCAAGAGAGAAAGCAGCTGGAAGGGACATATTCATGGGCATGTATGACAGAAATTTCTAGAGAAAAAATTTCTGAAAGTAGAGAGGTGCCTAAGTCCCAACCTTCAAGGATTTTGACATATCTGGTATGGAGCCTAGCTGTAGGTCATTGAAAAGACCTCAAAAAATCCTGTGGAGCATTTCAGAGGATTTGCAAGGGGGGCAAAAGGCTGTGAAATGTGGGCCTCATCTGCATCAATAGCCTAGTAAAGCTTAGGGAAACTCAAGTTATAACTAGAACCATTACTGACAGCTTGTAAACAACCAGGGAAATGATCCATTTTCTCTATGGTATATAAAATTAAGAAGATACCTTTGTGGGCTGCAACTAAGGAGCCCCTGCATAAAGAAATACCCTCCCCCCAAAAAACTGTGCTAGACACATATACTGTACTGCAAAGCATTTTTACTTGTTCTTGAGGAAAACAATTGTTCCAAAATGGTCCTTTTTAACAACCAGTGTCTATTCCTGCTAGTGGCTGACTGTGCCATCATCTCTGCATAATCCCAGAGGACTATTAGGGAGACAGCATTAGGAGACAGTCAGAGATACTACAATGGGTTCTAGGAATGGGGTACTCTCTGTTTCCTATACTGCTCTCTTATTATTATTATTATAATTCTCATTTTGTAAATGAAGAAATAGAGGCAGAGGGGTTACTGAAGGTCATACAACTTGCAAGTCGTGGAGCCAGGAATTAAACCTAGCCAGTTCAATTCCAACGCCTGGGTTCTTAATCACTATATTTAACAGCCCATAGTTTGGGGACATTTGCAGTTAGCCAGGTGTGAGATGATGCTGCATTTGGATTAGGGTGGTGACAATGGAGATGAAGAGAGTGTACAGAAGCAAGATGTACCTTGAAGATATAAGTGACGAACTGGATTAAGAGAAGAAATGGGAGAAATCGAGTTTTCTAGCTTAAATAACTGGGTAGCCATTTATTAAAAAAAACAAAGACCATGGCTAATACTCATAGTACTGATATGTGTCAAACACCAGTCTAAGTGTGAGACATCCAAGTTAAGATATGAAATAGGTAGTTTGATAGAAGAGTCTAAAGCTTGGAGAAGTCTAGTATAGAAACACAAAGAATGGCATTGTCAGCATATGGATGGTACATAAAACCATAGAGAATAGTATAAGTCTAGTACAGAAATATAAAGAATGACACTGTCAGCATATGGATGGTATATAAAGCCATAGAGAATAGAAGTCACTTAAAAGGAAGAGTATAAATAGAAAAGATTTCAGATAAGGATGGAAAACAAGAGAAAGAGAAACCTATGATGGAAAAGAACCAAAAAAGTATGATGTCAGAAATAAAGAGAAGAGACTGTTTCAAGGAGGGAGTAGTTTAGATTAAAAAAAAAAAGTCAACTGGGGGCGCCTGGGTGGCTCAGTCGTTAAGCATCTGCCTTTGGCTCAGGTCATGATCCCGGGGTCCTGGGATCAAGCCCCACATTGGGCTCCCTGCTCAGTGGGGAGCCTGCTTCTCCCTCTCCTGCTCCTCCTGCTTGTGTTCCCTCTCTCCCTGTGTCTCTGTCAAATAAATAAAATCTTAAAAAAAAAAAGTCAACTGATTTTGAAAAGGAAGAGACCACTGATGATATAATGTAGGAACTGAAGACAGTTCCAAAGGCCCCATACTAAAAGGGCAAGTAGAGGAAGAGAAACCAGCAAAAAACATAGAAATTTTATTCAAATTAGGATGTCCTTTTGCAGAGAACTTCAATTATCTGGCTTAAAATCATCCAGGACTTATAAATTGTGTCATGTCATCCATCCTGTGAGCTAACCTACCATAAGTCACAGTGCAAACAATTGTACCCATCACGCAAGTCACTTGCACAGAATCAATAATTTTCATTCTTGAAAACTTCTGTGGCAGGAAAGTACATTATATCCAATTTCACTGACTGAATTCATTATTCCCCCAAAATTCATATGTTGAAGCTCTAACCTCCAGTATTTTAGACTGACTGTGTTTGGAGATAGGGCCTTATAAAGGTGATTAAGTTTAAATGAAACCCTTAAGATGGGCTCTAATCCAATCTAACTGGTGTCTTTGGAAAAAAAGGAAATTTGGACATACAAATTATGCACAAGGGATTTTTGTGCCAGGGATCAGGAAAAGACCAAGTGAAGACACAGTGGGAAGACAACCATCTGAAAGCCAAGGAGAGAGTCCTCAGAAGAAACCAAATCTACTGATATCTTGATCTTGGACTTGCAGCACCCAGAACGGTGAGAATAAATTTCTGTTGTTTAAGCCACGCAGTCTGTGGTATTTGTTTTGGAAGACCTAGCAAATACACTGACTGCAACTTACACCTTTGTTCAACAGTGAATGAAACACAGGAATAGTGATAAGGACGTAACAACAGATGCCTAAGGTTTATGCTATTTAGAGGACATAATAAAGTTACTTGCAATTTAGAGTTTCCTACTTGAAAAGATGTGTAACAATTATGTAACTCTGCCTTGATTTATTTTCCTCCTATAATTGTTAGTAATTTCTTAAGCTTAATGAATTGAATAAGAAATTATTAATGTGCTATCCTGTATGCAATAATTTAAAATAATTAAAAATTTCCCAGCATAATCAAATGGGAGAATAAAACTAAAATCATGCTTTTGACTCATATTTAATTTATATGTATTTGAATTAGTTTCTGACCCAAATATTAGCCTTTTTACCTAAAATACTGTAAAATATTTATTCCCGTAATAGTTTATATTAAAAATGAAAGAATACTGCTATAGACTTAAGAATTAAAGTGTCATTCAAAAAATTATAGCATTGTAAAATTATAAAAATATGAGAAATTTGAATTACAGGGACATAAATACAGGGACATATAAATAACTAATCTGAAGGTTAAGGTACAATCAAATTCAGCTAACTTTAGAATACAGTGAAATACAGTCTGGTTTTCAAAAAAAAAAAAGATTTTATTTATTTATTTGAGAGAGAGAGAGCATGGGGGCCGGGAATGGCAGAAGCAGACTCCCCACTGAGCAGGGAACCTGACATGGGGCTCAATTCCAGGATCCTGAGATCATGACCTGAGATGAAGGCAGATGCTGAACTGACTGAGCCACCCAGGTGCCCCTAGAGTCTGGTTTTTAAAAAACATTATCAGACGAGATCGGGCGCGTTCAGGGTGGTATGGCCGTAGACTAAAAAACATTATCAGAAGACATGAACAGACACTTATCCAAAGAAGACATACAAATGGCTAACAGACACATGAAAAAATGTTCATCATCATTAGCCTTCAGGGAAATTCAAATCAAAACCACATTGAGATACCACCTTACACCAGTTAGAATGGCAAAAATTGACAAGGCAAGAAACAACAAGTGTTGGAGAGATTGTGGAGAAAGGGGAAACCTCCTACACTGTTGAGGGGAATGCATGTTGGTACAGCCACTTTGGAAAACAGTGTGGAGGTTCCTCAAGAAATTAAAAATATGACCCAGCAATTGCACTACTGGGTATTTACCCCAAAGACACAGATGTAGTGAAAAGAAGGGTCATATACACCCTAATGTTCATAGCAGCAATGTCCACAATAGCCAAACTGTGGAAAGAGCCGAGATGCCCTTCAATAGACGAATGGATAAAGAAGATGTGGTCCATATATACAAGGGAATATTACTCAGCCATCAGAAAGGATGAATACCCAACTTTTGCATCAACATGGATGGGACTGAAGGAGATTATGCTAAGTGAAATAAGTCAAGCAGAAAAAGTCAATTATCATATGGTTTCACTTATTTGTGGAACATAAGCAATAACATGGAGGACATCAGGAGAAGGAAGGGGAAAATGAAGGGGGGGAAATCGGAGGGAGAGATGAACCATGAGAGACTATGGACTCTGAGAAACAAACTGAGGGTTTTAGAGGGGAGGGGGTGGGGGGATGAGTTAGCCTGGTGATGGGTATTAAGGAGGGCATGTATTACATGGAGCACTGGGT